CTTTTGAAATTGTTGCTTTTATGCTGGGTGTTTCAGGGCAAGGACTCAGTTTCCTATCATCTTCCGGCTCTCCCAGCGCCAGGCCCTGCTGATTTTAAGTATTTGGAGTTAAGCCCCAGTGACTGTAAAAACTCACGAAGTTAATCCTTACTGGTTTTCAAAGCCAAATGTTGTGGGGATTTGTTTTTCCAGTGCAAGTCTTGATGTGGGGTCTGCCCTTCTCCCTTCTCTGTGCTTGTGGAAACCCTCCCATCTGTGGTTAGTCTTGCCAGTTTCCTCCTTAACACTGCTTTCACAGTGGCTACTATCAGTTTTGGTATCTTGTGTTTTTGTTTTCATTTGCTAGGTATTTTCTTTTTTTTTCTACTATTATTATTAACATGTATTATTTGTTTCAGGGGTACAGGTCTGTGATTCATCAGTCTTATGCAATTCACAGCACTCACCCTTAGTACACACCCTCCCCAGTGTCCATCACCCAGCCACCCCAACCCTTCCACCCGCCTCCACTCCAGCAACCCTCAGTTTGTTTCCTAAGATTAAGAGTCTCGTATGGTTTGTCTCCCTCTCTGGTTTCATCTTGTTTCATTTTTTCCTCTCTTCCCCTATGATCCTTTGCCTTGTTTTCTCAAATTCCACATATCAGTGAGATCATCTGATAATTGTCTTTCTCTGATTGACTTGTTTTTTTGTTTTTTTTTTAATATTTTTAATTTTTAAAATTTCTTTTCATTGTACCAGAATTCATTGTTTATGTACCACCCAGTGCTCCATGCAACACGTGCCCTCCACAATACCCACCACCTGGCTCCCCCAACCTCCCACCCCCCCGCCCCTTCAAAACCCTCAGATTGTTTTTCAGAGTCCATAGTCTCTCATGGTTTGTCTCCCCCTCCAATTTCCCCCAACTCCCTTCTCTCCATCTCCCCATGTCCTCTGTGTTATTTCTTATGCTCCACAAAAAAGTGAAACCATATGATAAATGACTCTCTCTGCTTGACTTATTTCACTCAGCATAATCTCTTCCAGTCCCGTCCATGTTACTGCAAAAGTTGGGTATTCATCCTTTCTGTTGGAGGCATAATACTCCATAGTGTATATGGACCACATCTATCTTATCCATTCATCCATTGAAGGGCATCTTGGTTCTTTCCACAGTTTGGCGACTGTGGCCATTGCTGCTATGAACATTGGGGTACAGATGGCCCTTCTTTTCATTACTCTGATTCACTTGTTTTGCTTAGCATAATACCTTCTAGCTCCATCCACATCATTGCAAATGGCAAGAGTCTATTTTTGATGGCTGCATAATATTCCATTGTGTGTGTGTGCATGTGTGTGTGTACACACACCACATCTTTATCCATTCATCTGTTGATGACTATCTAGGCTCTTTCTATAGTTTGGCTATTATGGACATTACTGCTATAAACATTGGGGTGCACATGCCTCTTCAGATCACTACATTTGTGTCTTTGGAGTAAATACCCAGTAGTGCAATTGCTGCGTCATAGGGTAGCTCGATTTTCAACTTTTTGAGAAACATTCATACTTTTTCCAGAGTGGCTGCACGAGCTTGCATTCCCACCAACAGTGTAGGAGGGTTCCCCTTTCTCTGCATCCTTGCCAACATCTCTCACTTCCTGACTTGTTACCTTTAGCCATTCTGACTGGTGTAAGGTGGTATCTCATTGTGGTTTTGATTCGTATTTCCCTGACTCCAAGTGATGTTGAGCACTTTTTCATGCGTCTGTTGGCCATCTGGATATCTTTTTTGCAGAAATGTCTGTTCATGTCTTCTGCCCATTTCTTAATTGGATTATTTGTTCTTTGGGTGTTGAGTTTGATAAGTTCTTTAAAGATTTTGTATTCTAGCCTTTTATTTGATATGTCATTTGCACATATCTTCTCCCATTCTGTCGGTTGTCTTTTGGTTTTGTTGACTGTTTCCTTTGCTGTGCAAAAGCTTTTTATCTTGATGCAGCCCCAATAATTCATTTTTGCCCTCGCTTCCCTTGCCTTTGGTGCTGTGTCTAGGAAAAATTTGCTGCAGCCAAGGTTGAAGAGGTTGTTGCCTGTGTTCTCCTCAAGGATTTTGATGGATTCCTGTCTCACATTGAGGTCCTTCATCTGTTTTGAGTCTGTTTTTTTGTATGGTGTAAGGAAATGGTCCAGTTTCATTCTTCGGCATGTGGCTGTCCAATTTTTGCTAAGTATTTTCCTCTTTTCCCTTGGGATTTCTTCTTTGAATCATTGGTTGTTTAAAATGTAATGATTTTTCCAGTCCCGCCAATTTTCCATTTCTCTTTTGTCATTGATCTCTAAATTCACCCTGTTGTATTAGAGAAGATACTTGTTTTGCTGTTTATCTTTTTAAATCTATGAGACTTAATTTGTGGCCTAACAATGGTCTGTTCTGAAAATGTCCCATATGCACTGGAGAAGGATATGTTGGGTATGTTGTTGGGTAAAGTGTTTTTATGTCTTAGACCGAGTGGGTTTATTGTGTTGTGTTGTTCTCTATTTCTTCTGTCTGGTTGTTCTTTCCATTATTGTGACTGGAGTACTGGAGTCTCCAGTTATTATTCTGGAACTGTTTTATTTGTCACTTCATTTCTATTAGCTTTTGCTTCATGTATTTTCGTGATTTGTCATTATATGCATAAATCTTTGTAATTACTATATCTTCTTGCTATATTGATATTTTGTTAATATATATTTGTTTCTTATAATATTTTTTTGACTTGAAATTTATTTTATCTGGTATTAGCATAGCTGTATTTGCTCTATTTTGGTTACTGTTTGCATGGAATATTTTCTCAGTCTTTTCCATTTTAACTTGCTTGTGTCTTTGGACACAACTAATTATTAAATTTCGATTTGAAATTTTTTATTTTTTATTTATTTTAAAGTGTTCTCTTCCCTTAAGTTGTATAGGAAACAAGATTTGGTGTTACAAATGAAAGTTACACTAATGCTAGCTTTTACATTAATAAATGCTTTTTCTTCTTTACATGTATTAGTCTCTTAAATCTGTAGAAAACAAAATGTGGTTACAAATCATTACTACAGTAATACTAGCTTTTGTAATTATCCATGTGTTTACTTTTTCTGAACTCTTTATTTTTCCATATGGCTTTGAGTTACTGTTTAGCATTCTTTCATTTAACCTGCAGGACTCTCTTGAATATTTCTTACAGGCTAGATCTAATGGGTCACAAACTCTCCCAGCTTTTGTTTATCTTGGAATGTCTTAATTCCTCCCTCACTTTAGGAGACCATTACTGCCAGATATAATATTTTGACAGTTTTTGTCTTTTACTACCTTGAACATATCTGCCCACCCTCTCTGGCTTCTGAAGTTTCTGATAAAAAATCTGCTCCTTCTCTTATAGAGGAATCCTGCATCTGACGATTCACTTTTCTCCTGTTGTGTTCTTTTAATCTTTGGCTTTTAGAAGCTTGATTATAATGTCTTTGTGTGTTTTCTTCGAGTTCCTCTTATGTAGAAGTTCTTGAATGTTTATATTCATGTTTTGCATCAAATTTGGGACGTTTTCAGTCATTATTTTTAAAAAATATTCCCTCTTCCCCTTTATCTCTTTCTTACTATTCTAGGATTCCCACAATGTATATGTTGGTCTGTGTGATATTCCACAAATCTTTTAGGTTCTGCTCATCTTGCTTCATTTTTTTCTGGAGGGCTGATAATTTCCATTGTGTTGTCTTCAAGGTTGGTAATTCTTTCTTCTGTTCAAATCTGTCCTGAGTCCCTCTAGTGAATTTGTCATTTCAGTTAATTTACTTTTCAGTTTCGGAAACTCTTTTTGGTCTCTATTTAGTTTTATGTTTCTTTGTTTGATGGTATTGGTTGTTTTCCTGACTCCATATCTTCCTTTATTTGAGCATCTTTGAAAGAGTTGTTTTAAAATTTTCATTTAGTATAAATCCCATTAGTTCCTTTTTAGGACAGTTTGTTGTTTGTCTGCCTGCCACCCCACACCCCAATGTGTTCCATCATATGTTTTGTGATTTTTTTTGTTGAACACTGGACATTTGAATCTAATAATGTAATTCTGGAAATTAGTGTCCAGATTTAACCCAATTCTTCTTTAAGGTCTGCTATTTTTTGTTACTTTCCCCTCCTCTTTTTTATTATTATAGGCCATCTGTGTGCTGAAGATCAACCTGAGATATAATTTAAGGTCTTCTTAGGTCTTTTCTGAGCATTTCCCTTGGCATGCATTGTCACTTTCTGATTTTCCTTGTATATACTCTTGTTTTATATGTCTTGCTTCTGAAAAGGGAAAACCAAAACTGAAACAAAAATTGAGTGGAAAGGAAGGACACAGACCTTTTAAATTCTCTGGAAGTCACTTCAGTCAAGAAGGAGAGACTTGTAACAATAGGTGAAAGTGTATTAACAATGGCTATCCACCTCTTTTATCTACACCTCTGTGATCTGAAGCAATAGTCAGCAATCAGCAGAGATCCCTGATATTTGGAGAACTGAGTCCTTTTTGTTCACTCTGACTCTTAAAAATTGTGCAAGCTCTCAGGAACATGCACACAGCTTATTACTTGCAACCTGACTGAGGATGTGGAGATGGGCTGCTGCTACTGCTTAAATTGACCAAAATTAAACATGTCAGTTTTTCTGTGGAAATTGAAAGTCTTCAACAGACTCCACAGAGTTCCAAAATAGTTATAGCAGGCAGATTCAGCCAGTGCAATTGTTGCCGAAGTGGGGAAGACAGATTCCTGATGCTTCTATTCCACCATCTTCCCAGAATTTTCAAATTAGATTTTAAAGGAGTTCCTTCACTGGAATAACTGAGGTAACTTATATGACATTTACCATAAAGCTATGAAGTCAATTTTTCTTTTTGAAGTAATAATTTATGTAGTCATTTTATATGTGTAGTTTGGTAAACGATAATTACTAATGATTTTTTTCTTCTGTTTTTTTTTTATGTGTTTTATTTGCTTTTTAATCTCAGGAAACTGGACAACGTCAATTTGAGTGGATTTTGAAAAATGTCTAAAGGTTAGCGGGTAGCATCTACATTCTGCCTTCTCTCAACTCTTTACAAAAGAATAAATGAGATGTTTGAGAAGAGAGCTATATTAAAAGAACAATGTTGCAAATGGCTTCAGAATCTGTGAATGCAAAACAAGCTAGGAATCACTGCACAAAGGTGAAAAGGCAGCAGCATCAGCAAATAAAGAATAGGTCTTCAATTAGTGATGGTGATGGAGAAGACTCCTTTATCTTTGAAGCAAATGAAGCTTGGAAAGATTTTCATGGATCCCTTCTCCGGTTTTATGAAAATGGAGAACTCTGTGATGTCACACTAAAGGTGAGACTCCTTTTTTCTTTTTCAGTCTCTTTATTGCATTATGAAAAATGAGGGTTTCTAGAACCACACAAGGCAAATTTTTGGTGCCATACTTATTACAGTCAAGATGATTTTAGTCTTAGTCTTTTTTTATTGAAGGTGAGAGGACATAAGGAAAGGTACATAAAGGGAGAGTAGCATAAGATAAAATTATTGTACTAATAAATGTTAATATTATTTCTTAGTTAATTTAACTTCTGAGAGTTCTGGAACCTTAAAACGTTAAAGTTACTATTAGTGAAATTAATAAATTGCTGTAGACCAGTAAGCTTTTAACTCATGAATTTAGAAATTACTTAGAAAAGTAGGAAGTCTTGGTGTTTATTCTGTTGCACTAGTGTTTTAGTATATATTCCTATCTGGTAATTTACCCTCTACTTTAAAACAATTGTCCCTTAAGTGAGATTATCTATACCTGATAGTGAAGTAGAATCTATTCAGACTTGGATAAAAAAGTGTAGTAAATTCTAAGTCTGTGGTCTATAGAATCATGCTATTCTGTTGCAAAAGACAATTTTAGTAAAATTGGAAAAGTGATAAAGCAGTGTGGAAGAACCCATGTTCTAATTGTTCCTCACTTGTTTAAGGTGATTTTTTACTATTCTTATATGTCACTGTAATATTAAAGATTTTTTGGTGATTCATACGTATTCATGCAGCATTTGACACCTTTATTTTGCCACTTTGGAGTCTCTTAGATTTTGCTTTCCACTCCTGATCAGACAAGTTTTTAGAGCTGAGTCATAGGGCTTGAAGGCATACTTGAAGAATCAGATCAGAGGACAATCAACAAAAGTCTATAATAAGCTGAAAGCATAGGCTTTGAGTTTCAGGTCCATAATGTCTGGGAGTGTACTATTACATTACAAATAAATGAGCTATATATTTTCTTTCCTTAAACTGTTACTGTCCTTACGTATTTCTGGGCCCTAAGATATTGAGAAGAAAACCATTATATAATTCTAGTTCTGTGTGAAATTTAACCATATATATGTTTTAATGTAGGAACACTTAAGTTTTTTGTTCTGTATGGTATGTTTAATATTATATATACCATTGTTCTAATTTTCACCTTTGTTGTGAAATTCAGGGACCCACACTAGCTTTGGCAAAAACAAGAAATGTAAAGTCGACTATTTGAATTCAATTACCATTCAGCATATCAGTGTATCAATGGAAAATAGAGTATTACTGATTTTATAAATTTTATGATTGAATTTTAGAATGATTTTTACAACATAGTACAAACTTTCTTAAGTAAAAAATAGGGATATAGCCATTTTGGGATGAGTGAGAACTAAACTCATAACTTTGTTGTGTAACTTGGGCAATAGATTGAAATAAAACTCCCATACAAACAGTGGTTAAAAACTAAAATACTGTTTTAAACAATGACAGAGATCTTTTGGGAATGAGAAATGCTTCATTAATTTAAAGGGACTATCATTTTTTCAACTGTACAATAAGAGTGATGGTTTTTGTGAGGGATAAGTGAATTGATACAGGTGAAGTCCTTATGGCAGTGCTTGGTATAGAATAGATAACAAATATCAGCTACTTGGATCATTATGTGTACTATCATTGTTTTTTTCCAAGGGTATCAGATAATTCTGCTATGGTATATTTTGTTCCTATCATTAGAAAGTGTTACAACTTGAGATGCCTGGGTGTCTCAGTTAAAAGTGTCTGCCTTTGGCTCAGGTTATGATCCCAGGGTCCTGGGATCAAATCCCTCATCAGGCTCCCTGCTCATCAGGGAGCCTGCTTCTTCTTCTGTCCATCTCTCCCCCTGCTTTTGCTTTTTCTCTGTGACAAATAAATAAAATCTTAAAAAAAAAATGTTACAACTTAATCTTTTAACAGGCCTGTTATTGGATTTCTTTTTTTTTCTTTTTTTTTAAAGATTTATTTATTTATTTATTTGACAGAGATCACAAGTAGGCAGAGAGGCAGGCAGAGAGGGAAGGGGGAAGCAGGCTCCCCACTGAGCAGAGAACCCAATGTGGGGCTCGATCCCAGGACCCTGGGATCATGACCTGAGCGGAAGGCAGAGGCCCCAACCCACTGAGCCACCCAGGCGCCCCTGGATTTGTTTCTTAATTCTAAGTCAACATTTCTTTAACTGTTATAGAACAACTAAGTCAAATGGGATTATGGACAATTTATAATGCTCAGTTCAACATAAACTTCACTTTCTGTATTCATACAACTTTGAGGATTATTATTTAATATGAAGTCATATTTACATTCTTTTATTAGTATGTTTCCTTCAACCATTATTGCTTTTAGGGCAAACATTTTAGAAAGACTATTGAGCTGGCTAAGTCATTGGAGTGTGTGATTCTTGATCTTGGGGTTGTAATTTAAGCCCTACTTTGGGTATAGAGATTACTTAAAATCTTTAGGGGCGCCTGGGTGGCTCAGTTGATTAAGCATCTGCCTTCAGCTTAGGACATGATCCTGGATTGTTGGGATCAAGCCCTGCATTAGACTCCCTGCTCAGTGGGGAGTCTGCTTCTCCCTCTGCCCCTAACTCCACTCGTGCTCTCTCAAATAAATAAAATATTTTTTAAAAAAATACAATCTTTTAAAAAAGGCAGTTGGCCAGATTTATTTTACTATTTGTATATAATGTCATTAGCTGATTTTTAAATTCCAAAATGAGCACCGTTTTATAAATAAATAAGTTTATGTTGGGGAAAGTATGTGCTTTGGGGAGTACTGTGAATTGTATAAGACTGGTGAATCAAAGACCTGTACCCCTGAAACAAATAATGTATGTTAATTTTAAAAAGAGTAAAAAAAAAAGAAGTTTATTTAGTATGTATTTACTAAGGTCTTACCCTAGTACATGGAGAGTATAAGTAAACTTGGAATTTGAATAATATTCTATTCTTGTTTTGAAGGCATTTGAAGATTTTAGGTATTTATTTGACAGAGAGAAATCACAAGTAGGCAGAGAGGCAGGCAGAGAGAGGAATGGGGGCAGGGGTTGTGCCGGGGCGGGGGGGGATGCAGGCTCCCTGCTGAGCAGAGAGCCCAGTGCAGGGCTCGATCCCAGGACCCTGAGATCATGACCTGAGCCGAAGGCAGAGGCTTAACCCACTGAGCCACCCAGGCGCCCCATTTGAAGCTATTTGAAATTTAGCCAGAAGATAGGCACAAACACAGCTAACAAGGGTATAATTTAGTGATTGTCATTTTTGTGTTATTTTTTGGGTAGCATAGGAGAAGATTTATAAATTATGCCTGAGAAGTGATTGGAAAGCCTTCACATAAGAAATTATTATCTTGAGGTCATTCCAGGGAGAGGTAAAACTCGTTTTTGTATTATTTTGTTTATTAGAGAAAACATTTTAAACTGTATATCCACTAGCAGATGTAAAATTATATAGCGGGCAAGCTTCTTAAGGGCAACAATTTGGTTGGATAAAGGATGGGGAAATTTTTCTTGCAGGGGTATTGCGTGGCACTCATAATGCTTAAATTATACATTATAGATCAATAAGAGTATCATTTACAAAGATGCTTATACTCCCGCTTTATGTAGTTTGAGGAAATATAATTATTCTTAGTAAAGATCATAGATAATTTTACTTAAAGAGGCTAACAGATTATTAGAGGAAGGAAACCCCCTACATCACCTGTTGATGCCACCACTGAATATGTATTATTCATAATATTTGGCTTTTTTTTTTTGAAAGTACAGGTTTCTGTACTTTTTTTAAACAAATGTTTATAGGATTCTAATAAATACTTTCAAGATTAAGTGTCATTATTTTTTGGTATCAAACTTCTAAGTGACCAGGTTAGACAAAGTCCTCCAAAAGATTTCAGGGAAAAAAAAATATACGAACTATATTATAATAGCATACTTCCAGGGGGTAGAAATGATAAAATTATTAGCCTTATAAATGTAACAGATAATTCCTGACTGGAAGGCAGACATAATCTAATAAAGAGAAATGAAAAAGGAGGAGCTGATTTTATATTTAACATTTAAGCATTCTATGTTAATCAGTGTAATAAATGATGGCTTTTACCTTCTGACATTCAAATAATGAATTGATATTTTGATTATTTATTTATTTATTTTTTTTTTTTTTAAAGATTTATTTATTTATTTTTTATTTATTTGACAGACAGAAATCACAAGTAGGCAGAGGCAGGCAGAGAGAGAGGGGGGAAGCAGGCTCTCCGCCGAGCAGAGAGCCCGATGCGGGGCTCGATCTCAGGACCCCGAGATCATGACCTGAGCCGAAGGCAGAGGCATTAACCCACTGAGCCACCCAGGCGCCCCAATATTTTGATTATTTATTTTTTAAAAGATTTTATTTACTTATTTGAAAGAGAGACAGTGAAAGAGAGCATGAAAGGGGAGAAGGTCAGAGGGAGAAGTAGACTCCCCATGGAGCTGGGAGCCCGAAGCAGGCCTCGATCCCAGGACTCTAGGATCATGACCTGAGCCGAAGGCAGTTGCTTAATAACCAACTGAGCCAACCAGGCACCTGATATTTTGATTTTTTTCATGTTCAGGAAAGGAGGTATTTAAATATTTGTATTTGTAGATCCTTATTTATTCATCTCTAAAATATTATCCATTGTTTCCATTACTCAGGTTTTTAAAAAGATTTTATTTATTTATTTGTCAGAGAGAGAGAGAGAGAGAGAGAGCAAGTGAGAACACACAAGCCGGGGGGAGTGGCAGGCCAAGGGAGAGGCAGGTTCCCCACTGAGCAAGAAGCCTGATGCAGAACTCAATCCCAGGACCCTGGGATCATGACCTGAGCCAAAGGTTTAACTGACTGAGCCACCCAGGCATCCCTCATTTCAAAATTTCTAACTAATGATGTACTGTATGGTGACTAACATAATAAAAAAATAAAAATTTTTTAAAAAGAGAGGAGAAAAAATTAAAAAAAAATAAATTTCTGGTGAAATGTTTTTGGTAATTTGCTTTTATGTACCAGAACAGAAAATATAGAAATAAACTTCTGGTAATATAATGAAACTTTGTAATGTCAAAGAATTAATGCATAGAAAGCCAAATATTTTGATGTTGCTATTTCATACACATGGCTCAAAGACCTTTTTTCAAAATTAAGATGGGTATTTATTCTAAAAGGGCATATAGGGGATGTGATTGTGTGTGTGTGTATTAAGTATTCAAGTTTTAGTTTACATGAATCAAAGTAAAATAGCTATTGAAGGACAAAGCTTTATGAACAATATGAAAATAATTTGTGGTCCATTGATTTATACAGCTTGGATAAGAAAGCAGTGTTAATGTTTAACTGGAAATTGTAGAATACTATTTATGTAATGACAGGTTGTTGAAGCAGATTTACGTCACATGAGATTTACAAATATTTGCATAAAAACTAAATCCCAGTCATGGCATATGCAGATATTCTTTAAAAAATATATATATATTTTTAGCCCGTTTTAAAAATGTTTAATATCAGGTTTCAGATCCCACTTTAGGGCTGAAGTAAATTTGAGAACATGCCAAGCTTTCCGCTTTAGTCTAGGTTACACCTTGAATCTCAATAGAATCTAAATCTTGCCTTATAAATTCTTTTTAAAAAATTAAATACAGTATAACTAACAGAAATGATAATCTTGTGTTTGTTGAAGGGATATTCATTTTTCCTCCACATTAGTGAAAAAAGGTCAGGGAGGAAGATTTATTTAAAAAAGCCTTTATACATTGTAATACTCCTCAGACCTTTTTCTTTAGAAGTTCTCATTTTAAAATTAATTCCTAAATAATGAGACACAACTATAAGTGTATTTATATAGTCAAAATGCTACATGCAAACAGGAAAATTGGTAAAACACTATCCTATTACTTGTACTTAATGATTATTTAACATAAAGTGCTGGGAAAACTGGATACTCAGTACCAAAACCTTCCCCAGATGGAAATAAAGATGTAAGTATAAAACAGTAAAATCATAAAAATACTGGAATACCTGAAGTTAATATTAATGGAATATTAGAATGATTCCAATTTTAAGCATAGCACCTAAGGCAGAAAGCATAAAGACAAGGATTGATTTGATTGTGTAAAAATCTATAGGGGGTGAATAAAAAAGTACATCATAAAAGAGAAAAGCTTGAAATATATATGACAGATGATTCACACTCTAAACATATGAGGAGTTCTTAAAAATACATATGAAAAAAGTGATAGAAAAAAGTTCATAGAAGAGATACAGATAGCCCAAAATTAATGAAGGATTCAGTATTAGTAAAAGACAAATTGAAACAGTGGGATAATATTTTCATTCATCAAATTGACAAATATTTTTAAATAAGTTACAGCAAAAATATGGCACAAATATTGTAGGTAGATTAGAAATAGACAATTTATCAGTATGTATCCAAACTGCACCTAAACTTTGAAATACCATTTCTACTTTTAGAAATTTATCTATAGGTGATAATGGAGTGTGAACAGATTCAGTGACAGCAAAGTTTATTGTGTCATTTACAACAGCAAACTATTAACAGTAGTGTAATTTTTTATCAAATAAGGTGCTAAGATTTCATCACTTTTTATTATATTATTTCAAAATAATTTAAGAAATGAAAAACTTTAGTTAAGCTCATAATAAATACTGCTAAATAATGGTTTATTATTTCTGTGCTTTGGTGTTCTCACTGATAAATTGTGAATCTTTTTTTTTTTAAAGATTTTATTTATTTATTGGACAGAGAGATCACAAGTAGGCAGAGAGGCAGGCAGAGAGAGAGGGGCAAGCAGGCTCCCCGCTGAGCAGAGAGCCCGATGCGGGGCTCAATCCCAGCACCCTGGAATCATGACCTGAGCCGAGGGCAGAGGCTTAACCCACTGAGCCACCCAGGCACCCCAATTGTGAATCTTAATAGTACCTACTTATAGGGGCATTGGGACCATTAAGTGAGTTAATACATGAAAAGCACTTAGAATAGTACCTGACATGGTGACTATAATTAATAATACTGTGTTGTATATTAGAAGTTGCTAAGAGAAGAGATCTTTTTTTAAAATGAAATTGTTTATTTATGTGAGAACAGAGTGCATGCCCTAGCACAGGTAGGGGGTGGGGTAGAGGGAGAGAATCCCAAACAGACTTCCCACTGAGTGTGGAGCCCAACTCAGGGCTTGTTCTCATGACCTGTTGGAGATTAGGAACTAAGCCAAAACCAAGAGATGGGTGCCCAACTCACTGAGCCACCCAGGTGCCCCTAAGAGAAGAGATCTTAAAAAGCTCTTATCACAGGGAAAGAAAAAATTATAATTATGTGAGGTATTAGTTACTAAGTGTTGTAGTATTCATTTCATGATATATATATATATATATATGTATGTATGTATGAAATGACTGTGTTGAACAACTTAAACTTACAAAATGTCATGGTCAGTTATAGCTATAAAACTGGAAAAAGTTTTTTTAAAAAAGGGACACACAGATCAAAAACAAGAATAGTGCCCAAGTAGTGCTAGATGATGTGTCTTCTCATTCATTCACAGAATGCTCCTGAAATTTGAGATAATATAGAAAATCATAGTTTATGATTTTAGTATATATACATAAATAGACAATATATAGATGATAAGTGGTTTATTTGTAAGAAAAAAATTGTAACTGGCCTACATTAAAATAAGTGACCAAAGGATTGCATTGTTACAACAAATATACTAAATCTGTGTGGGTTTTGTCCCTGCTACCACATGCTCAATGCTGATCTAAAACTGATTTTTATATTAAACTGAGTCTCCTTTTGTTTTTTTGTTTTGAACAGGTTGGCTCAAAGCTCATCTCTTGTCACAAACTAGTATTGGCTTGTGTTATCCCCTACTTCAGAGCCATGTTTCTCTCCGAAATGGCTGAAGCCAAGCAAACACTGATTGAGATCAGAGATTTTGATGGTGATGCAATAGAAGACTTGGTTAAATTTGTCTATTCTTCACGGCTCACTTTGACTGTTGACAATGTCCAGCCTCTCTTATACGCAGCCTGTATTCTACAGGTTGAACTGGTGGCTAGAGCTTGTTGTGAATACATGAAGTTACATTTTCATCCCTCCAACTGCCTGGCAGTGAGAGCCTTTGCTGAAAGTCACAACCGAATAGACTTAATGGACATGGCGGATCAGTATGCCTGTGAGCATTTTACTGAAGTAGTGGAGTGTGAAGACTTTGTAAGTGTGTCACCCCAACATCTCCATAAGCTTTTGTCCTCCAGTGATTTAAATATTGAGAATGAAAAGCAGGTCTATAGTGCAGCCATCAAGTGGCTTCTTGCAAATCCTCAGCATCATTCCAAATGGTTGGATGAAACACTTGCACAGGTAGGGACTGAAATAAGATTGTGTGTAGAAATGAAGTGATACGGAAGCAAATTAGAGTGTTTGGTTGATCATGAATAGTGTAGATTATCCAAAGGAATGTAGAAATCCTTGTGTAATACAATGTGAAAATGGCTTTCTCTTTACTTCACTATTTACTCACTGTGCTATTTAAGGATAAGTCTGAATTTGTTACATTTAATTAGAAATATCATTCTTTGTTTTTTAACCTGAATGTTGAAGATAGCACTTTGAAACTGTAGTAATAAATATTTTATTTATGCTGATAGAAACAGGTTCTGAGGAAACAGCTCTAAAGAACTATTGTTTTATAATGAAGTTTCTAAATTGTAGTGAATTACTTTCCTATCTGGAAAGAACCACAAGACATAACTTTCCATTTTCTTTCCTCACCACAGTTTCACTTCTGTAACCTCAGAAACGTGGCTTTTTTCTTACTTATTTACTTATTTACCTACTTACTTACTGTCAACGGGGCAACCTGGGTAGGGAGATAATAAACGGGCCTTAGAATTACTTTGAGGAGCGTCTGGGTGGCTCAGTGGGTTGAGCCTTTGCCTTCAGCTCGGGTCGTGATCTCAGGGTCCTGGGATCGAGCCCCGCATAGGGCTCTCTGCTTGGCAGGGAGCCTGCTTCCTCCTCTCTCTCTGCCTGCCTCTCTGCCTACTTGTGATCTCTCTCTGTCAGATATATAAATAAAATCTGTTAAAAAAAAAAATTACTTTGAAAATAAGTTTGTCACAGAAACAAAAAGTTTCATTATTTTGCAGCTATCTTATTGGTGTGTATGCATATGTACTTTTAACTCCAAATCACATTACCTGGTTTGATCATCCCCTTAATCCACTAGAAAACCAGTGCATCTTTAAGGGAAGAAAGGTGAGTGCCTCTATTTAAAGTGGGGATGCATCCCTGAATTAATATATAACCTTCCAAGGTGACTGATTTGGAGAAAACAACACTGATTTCATATTATGAATGTTTCTGTGTTCAAGTAACAAAGAAATCCCGTTTCCATTTGGTCAGTTTGGCTTTAAAAGGCCAAAAAACCCCAAACATGGCAATTTTGTTTTGATTGTGCCTTTTCTCTAGCAGCAGTGGGGCCTTGTGTTTATGACACTACCATTTTGGGAAGTGAGAAACTTCAAGTGAATTATTTTATCCAGTCTACTTAGATCTGTATGTAAAGGGGGAAGGATGCATTTAATATGTAATCTGATTTCATTAGACCATACTAGAAATCACTTTAGAACTTGGCTCATTGAACTTCTTCACATGTTAGAAAGGCTTTGTGTGGTAAATGAGTTTTAAAAAGACAACTCAAAATACTTAAAATACTACAAAGTAGAGTGTGAGCTAACTAATTACAAATTAAATTTTGCATTTGCAATTATTCATGATCTTAGGTTCGTTTGCCGTTGTTGCCAGTTGATTTTCTTATGGGTGTTGTGGCAAAAGAACAGATTGTCAAGCAAAATCTAAAATGTAGAGATTTATTGGATGAAGCAAGAAATTACCATCTTCACTTGAGTAGCAGAGCAGTACCTGACTTTGAATACTCCATTCGGACTACCCCAAGGAAGCGAACTGCTGGTAATTAAATTACTCATTTTATCATCTCTACTGGAAGGATTATATTCCCAAACTTAATTGTAAGATGATTAGTATCTGATTACCTTAAAGTGGTAGTAATTGGCAAGTAAGGTCATATGTGAATCTTACTAGACATGATTCAGGTAGTTTTGCCAATAAGCCAATTTTTTAAAACGCCTTAAGTCCTGTGAACTTTGAAGAGCCTGCTGAAATAGCTCTCTCTTTCCCTCCTTTTTTAAAGGTTTTCTTGATACTTTCAGCAGAGTTAATTTCTCTGTCATTTGTACTTTTAGAATACTTTGTTTGCACTTGTTTTATTTTACTGTGTTGCACTGAAATTTATTTGACATGTTTTGAGCTCTTCAGAGACAGGTAAATACCTTATTCACGTTTATATTTCTAGTGCCAAGGATGGAATGTGACACATATTTTGTGTTTAAATATTACTAGTTTTTGTGTTTTATTAAAAGAAAGGCACTAAATGGGGCCCCTGGCTGACTCAGTTGGAAGAGCAATCTGACTCTTGATCTTGGGGTCATGAATTTAGCCCCATGTTGAGTGTGCAGATTACCAAAAAAATTTTTTAAAAAACTGAAAGGCACTAATTACATTTAAAATTTGTATAATAGATTATGTTAGACTCTTAGAGTCTAAAGGTCTTATATTTAAGTAGGCATGCAGCTTTACCTTATTTATTTATTTATTTATTTATTTGTTTGTCAGAGAGAGAGAGAGAGAGAGAGGGCGCCAGCGGGAGAACACAAGCAGGCAGAGCTGCAGGCAGAGGCAGAGGCAGAGAGAGAAGCAGGCACCCATTGAGCAAGGAGCCCAATGCGGGACTCGATCCCAGGATCCTGGGATCATGACCTGAGCTGAAGGCAGCGGCCTAACCAACTGAGCCACCCAGGTGTCCCCAGCTTTACCTTTATTTGCCACAATTTTCAAACTATATTTTCCTAATAGTTCATGTTCACTTATGTTACTTTTTACAAGTATGAAAAATATATTTGAGGGATGATGGAAAGGAAATGAAAATCCAGGAATTTGGGAAGTGGTACTTTGAACAGAGAGTTTATCTACATTTGTTTTGCTACCCAATATAGTTATCAAATAAAGAGATCTGTGGAATAGCCTAAAAATAACAACAAAGGGGAGTACTTGATTATGAGTAGTGGGATTTTATCTATGTAAAAAAATGTGAATGTCATATATGTACTTATAAAGAAGCAGTTCTTCTAAATAAAACTGACCGTTGAACAATACGGGTTTGAACTACATGCATGGGTCTACTTCTATGTGGATTTTTTCAGTACTATAAATGTATTTTCTCTTTTTTCTTATTGTATTTTTTATTTTAAGTAGGCTCCATGCCCAGCATGGAGCCCAGTGAGGGGCTTGAACTCACAGCCCTGAGATCAAGACCTGAGCTGAGGTCAAAGGTCAGGTTAACTGAGTGACGCAGACACCCCTCTTATGATTTTCTTAATAACATTTTCTTTTCTCTAGCTTACTTTATTGTAAGAATATGGTATATAATATATACATAAAATATGTGTTAACTGACCATGTTACAGCATGTTAATAGCAGTAGGCTATTAAGTTAAGTTTTGGGGGAGTCAGAAGTTAAATGCAGATTTTCGACTACACAGGAAGTTGGCATCCATTACTCCTGGGTTGTCCAAGTGTTAGCTGTAGTTTAACATGCAAAGGACTGCTTATTCTCCTTTTTTTATAGGTTGATGTCAAGAATTAAATTTTTTTGAAGTGTAGGGTTTTTTTAAGTTGTGAATCCTGTTTCAGGAAGTCAAGGTATTTAATTAAATTCCTCTTTAAATTCAGTTTTGGGCGCTTAGGTTGCTCAGTGGGTTAAAGGCTCTGCCTTCGGCTCAGGTCATGATCCCGGGTTCCTGGGACTGAGCCTCATATCGGGCTCTCTGCTAGGCGGGGAGCCTGCTTCCTCCTCTTCTCTCTCTGCCTGCCTCTCTGCCTTCTGTGATCTGTCAAATAAATAAATAAAATCTTTAAAAATAAATAAATACATTCAGTTTTAAATTTAAACAACACCTTGGTAGCCTGATTTATATGTATATAGTAGGCATATAGTAGACCCTTGTGTACGTGATCTCTTACATGATTGCAAGAACTTAATGAGTAGGTTTTAGTGTAGGATTCAGTCCTTATTATGAGATAGATGGTTTTATTCCATTTTATGGATGAAGAGAACTCAGCATAAAAATGTGCCCAAGGCCACACAGAGAAACAGTATAGAAAGGATTTGTATCCTGATCTTTTTGTTTCATTTTTAGCTTTCTTTCTTTCCATTCCATGTTCCTAGGTGAACTGTAAAACTGAAATACTAGTTTCTACTGAAAATCTATTCAATAACTGAGATTACAATCTGGGATTATAATTGCAGTTGTGCCATTTAATAGTGTAATTTGGGGCAGATTTCATAATATCTGAAGGCCTCAGTTTATTTATAAACAATTTTGATTTGCATAATCTTTAAAGCCTCTTCCAACTTTAAATTTCTTTGATTTAAAGTATTGATTTAGTTGGAAAAGATGACACAAACAATTTTGTACATTTTTTAATGCCATTATTCAGCAAATATTTATTTAGTACCTACCACATGTCAGGTTCTGGGTAGGCATTAGAAATGCAGATACAGAGGGCGCCTGGGTGGCTCAGTGGGTTAAGCCTCTGCCTTCGGCTCAGGTCATGGTCCCAGGGTCCTGGGATCGAGCCCCACATCTGGCTCTCTGCTCGGCGGGGAGCCTGCTTCCCCCTCTCTCTGCCTGCCTCTCTGCCTACTTGTGATCTGTCTGTCAAATAAATAAATAAAATCTTAAAAAAAAAATCAACTTAAAAAAAAAAAAAGTTGAGGGAAATTGGAGGGGGAGTGAACCATGAGAGACTATGGACTCTGAAAAACAACCTGAGGGTTTTAAAGGGGCGGGGTGGGGGTGAGAGGTTGGGGGAGCCAGGTGGTATGTATTAAGGAGGGCACGTATTGCATGGAGCACTGGTTGTGGTACAAAAACAATGATTACTGTTATGCTGAAAAGAGATTAAAAAAAAAAAAAAAAGCAGATACACATAGAATATAGCCAGCCCTATTTTGAGAGAACTTGCAGTCCAATATAGGGAAATAGACATGTGAATAAATAAATGCAATGAAGTGGTAAAGGGATGTTGATATATTTATAAGGATAGTGGGGAACACAAAAGTGTGGCTATTTTTACCTTGGAAGGGTCAGAAAAGTTTTTATAGACAAATCAAACCTCAGTCTTAGTTTTGAATAATAAACAGATGTTTTTCTAGGTGCCAGTTAAGAAAAGGGGTATTCAGTTCATTTTTCATCTGTTGAATGCCTAGTACGGGCCAGACACTGGGCTAGCCCTGATTAGTACAAAATGCTTAACACACGGTCTAAACCTATCTTAGGCTCTGGAGATAGATACAGCATAATGGATCATTTCTATACCGTGTTAAGTGAATGACAGTTACCAAAAATTGGCTTTGAAATATCAAGAATGAGCACTGTATGCATGTTGCAGGAACATGAAGTTTAGGAGAAACTGAGGGAGAAGATCGGATTAGACGGTGTGAGGCCTTTATGCTGTGCTGGGCTTTAACCTGTAGGACAGTGGTTCTCAAAATGTAAAGGAAGTGGTGACCCCTTCCCATTTCCTTGGGAACTTGTTAGAAAATAAATTCTTGAATCTACCCCATGCCTATTGATTCAGAAACTCTGGAGGTCGGGACCATCAATCTATGGTTTATGCCTTCCAGGTGATTCTTGAACCACATGGAAGTTTTGAATTTTTTTTTTTTTTAAAGATTGCAGCGAAATATGTATAATCTAAAAATTATCATTTAAACATTTTTAAATCTATAATTTAGTGGCATTGGCTAAAGTTTTTTAAAACTACTGATTTAGGTAATAGAAAGCTGTTGAAAGAGTCTTTTAATCTATTCTGTTGAAGGTCTGCAAGCAAAAAGACTACTAAGTGATAAAGGACAGGATTTTGCAGTAGTTGTAATAGCAGATGAAGGCCTGAACTATAGCAGTGGCAGGGAGGGAGGGAGAGGGAGGGCAGGGCACCTCAGGGAAGGAAGAGGTTTCAGGTAGGTGAGGAAGAGAGCATTTGAGTATGTTGGGTTTGAGGTGCCTGTGGGACGTCAAGTGGAAATGTGGCTTAGATGTGTTGCTTGAAAGGTTAATTATGATACAGATATATTTAAAATCAAGGAATGTTCTTTTCCTGTGTGAACATGAAGTATGTGAGAAGTAGGCAAAGGATGAAACATGGGAAACATAGGAAAGAAAAATTATTGCAGACAAAGGAGACTTCAGTATTATGGAAATCAAGAGAATTTAAGAAGTTTTCCAGGGACGCCTGGGTGGCTCAGTTGGTTAAGCGACTGCCTTTGGCTCAGGTCATGATCCCAGCGTCCTGGGATCAAGTCCCACATTGGGCTCCCTGCTCAGCAGGAAGCCTGCTTCTCCCTCTGCCTCTGCCTGCCACTCTGTCTGCCTGTGCTCACTCTCTCTGACAAATAAATAAATAAAATCTTAAAAAAAAAAAAAGAAGTTTTCCAAAAAGCAGGGTGATCAACATATCGAGTTGCATTAGTATTCAATAAGAAATTAACTTAAGGGGCCCCTGGGTGGCTCAGTTGGTTAGGCGTCTGCCGTCAGCTCCACGTCAGGTTCCCTGTTCAGTGGGGAGCTTGCCTCTCCCTCTGGGGCTCTCCGTGCTCATGCTCTCTCATGCTCTAGCTCATTCTCTCAAATAAATAAATCTTTTAAAAAAAAGAAATTAAGAGTTTATTGGATGTAGTTTTGACCTTAGCAAGAGCAATTTAACAGAGTGGGTGAAGATCTAAACCATACTACAATGGGATGTTAGCAGAGATAGCTGAGGTATCGTGTTCTTTGAGAAATTCAGATAAGGTGAAAAAAGAAAATTAGGTTTTTAGTAACCTAATGACATGAAGTTATCCAAATAACTCATTTTTTTTTAGCAGTTCTTCAAAGTTTTGACTTCCTAAGTATTTTTTCCACACTAATTTAAAAAAAAAATTAGGGAGCTATAATTCTGATCTGTATTTTCTGGCTTTACCTTTAGGTGTGCTGTTTTGTGTAGGTGGTCGAGGTGGATCTGGTGACCCCTTTCGCAGTATTGAATGCTATTCTATCAGCAAAAACAGTTGGTTTTTTGGGCCAGAGATGAATAGTCGAAGGCGACATGTGGGTGTAATCTCTGTGGAAGGTGGGTCCATTATTGTCTTAAGTCATAGCACATAATGATAACACACTTCTAAATATTTAAACTTTGAGAATTTCTATAAGAAAGTTGCTAAATTATAAAATGTTTCACTATATCACTAAGATATTTGTGTGGTGACTGTTTACTTGCCTTATGCCCACAGATGGTCAGTGAACAATCTCTTGCATGTAGGTGTTTATTGGGAGAGGAAAGTAGGGAAAAGGGAGTTAAAATAAAGAGTTAAACTCTTCTAAGTTATATTTGCAAAATAATCAAACTAAAAAAAGTATTGAACTCAAATAATACATACATATCAGCTTTTTCTATACCTAATTATTATTGAAATGAGGTTTTTTTTTTAACTGGTTACTGAAAATGAAATAATTACAGAACCATGGGTAAACTGTTAGGGGACTTTAAAAAAGTAACTTTTTTTCTGATTATAGAAGTGTAAATTCTTTTTTGGGGGGGAAAATATGAAAAGATTCTAATAAAAAGTAAAAATCATCTGTAATCCAAATACCCAGAAATAGTCACAGTTGACAATTTTGTATGTAACCTTTAGCATTATTGTATGTGTATTTTTAATAACTTCATTTAGAAAGCTTGATCATACTGTATTGAATTTTGTATTTTTTCATATAACCTTGAGCAATTTTTAATTTTACCAAACATTCTTTGAAACCATGATTAGTGATTTCATCTATGTAATAAAAAATTGGGAAACCAAAGGTAGGGATAGGTTTGAGCATTTAAATAACTTCATATAGGGACGCCTGGGTGGCTCAGTTGGTTAAGCAGCTGCCTTCGGCTCAGGTCATGATGCCAGGGTCCTGGGATCGAGTCCCACATCAGGCTCCTCGCTCGGCAGGGAGCCTGCTTCTCCCTCTACCTCTGCCTGACACTCTGTCTGCCTGTGCTCCCACGTGCTCTCTCTCTCTCTCTAACAAATAAATCTTTAAAAAATAAAAAAAAATTAAAAAAAATAACTTTATATAGAACACATGTTCCCAGCATTTTATTAAATAGAAGTTTACAATAATTTTTATTTGAGGGACGCCTGGGTGGCTCAGTCGGTTAGGCGGCTGCCTCCGGCTCGGGTCATGATCCCAGCGTCCTGGGATCAAGTCCCACATTGGGCTCCTTGCTTGGCGGGGAGCCTGCTTCTCCCTCTGCTTCTGCTGCCACTCTGCCCGCCTGTGCTCACGCGCTTTCTCTCTCTGGCAAATAAATAAATAAAATCTTTAAAAACAAAACAAAAACCAATTATTTTTATTTGACTAAGTGACATTATTCATGATGATGAACAGACGAATATTAGTTGAAAATTATCATGCTATTCTAATTATATGTTAATCTCATGTATACATTATATACGTAAATAACTATCAATTTACTTACTTGGAATCAAATGAAAATGCCTCTCTGTTTGACAGGTAAAGTGTATGCAGTTGGTGGACATGATGGAAATGAACATTTAGGTAGTATGGAGATGTTTGATCCTTTCACTAATAAATGGATGATGAAGGCATCAATGAACACAAAGAGGTGAATTAGCATGGAAATTTTTTTGATTTATTGGTGGAAAATAAAGCTTCCAATAATTGAAAGGGCTAATTTTCTACTTTTTATGTTTTTAGAAACTTTAAATACTGCCTTAAACACATTTTGTTAAATTTAGCATCCAATGTGATGCTTTGTTATAACTTTTTATAATTTCTTTCTTGAGAATGTATTTTATATTTTAGAATATAGTAACAAATAACATAGTTTCCACCTAAACCTGAGCCTGAACATTGATTTTTTTTTAAATTTTGAAATAATTTTAGACTTAGGGAAAATTGCAAAAATAACAGAGTTCCTACATACCAGTAATTCTCAACAAAAGATGATTTTGCCTCCTCTGTGGAACACTTGCCAATATCTGGAGGCATTTTTGGTTGTCACAGTTTGGGAGTGGGGACGTTGGGGGAATGGCTGCTGGCATCTAGATGAGAGAGGCCATGGATGTTGCTAAAAATCCTGTAATGCACAAGAAAGCCCTCCACAGCAAAGAATTTTCCCCATCCCAAATTTTAGTAGTGCTGAGATAGAGAAATCCTGCTGTATACTCTTAACCCAGCTCCCCTAATGTTGACATCTTACACCATCGTAGTACAATTATCAGGAAACTAAAATTAATACAGTGGTATTAGTTAATATAGAGCTTATTCAACTTTTGCCAGTTTTTCCATATATTCCTATGCTTTGAATTGGGTTTTCTTGTCTAATTATATTGCTTATTAATATAATACAATGTAAGTAGTAGCAGAGATGGTAGATGTTTTTGTCTTATTTATTTTTTAAAAGATTTTATTTATTTGACAGAGACAGTGAGAGAGAAAACAAAAGCAGGGGGAATGGGAGAGGGAGAAGCAGGCTTCCCGCCAAGTAGGGAGCCTGATGTGGGGCTCGATCCCAGGACCCCTCATGATCTGAGCCGAAAGCAGACGGCTATCAACTGAGCCACCCAGAGGCCCCCATTTTGTCTTATTTTTTATCTTAGTGGAAATGTCTCTAATGTTTCCCTATTAAATGAGATACTGGCTTTAGGACTAAGGCGTAGGTACTTTAACATACTAAGAACATACCCCTCAGGGCACCTGGGTGGTTCAGTTAAGGGTCTGCCTTCAGCTCAGGTCCTGATCCCAAGGTAGCGGGATCAAGTCCTCCTTCGGGCTCCATGCTCAGCAGAGTCTGCTTCTGCTCCTCCCCACTGCCTGTGCTCTCTCGCTCCCTCCCAGTCTCTCTCAAATAAATAAATAAATTCTTTTTTATTTTTTTTTATTTTTTTTTAATATTTTATTTATTTATTTGACAGAGAGAGATCACAAGTAGACAGAGAAGCAGGCAGAGAGAGAGAGGGAAGCAGGCTCCCTGCTGAGCAGAGAGCCCGATGCGGGACTCGATCCTACGACCCTGAGATCATGACCTGAGCCGAAGGCAGTGGCTTAACCCACTGAGCCACGCAGGCGCCCCAATAAATTCTTTTTTAAAATAGCCCTAATTTTTTACTCATTCTTTATTATGAGCATTAATATTAATAATTTTCATCTACAGTAAATTGAATATATGTTGATAAGTGGATTAGTCTAAAGAAGAGGAATATTTTCCATAACATGACTTAGTAAATGTTGACTAGAATTTTTTTAATGACTTGAATATCAAATTTTCAGATATTTTATGGTGAACAGATAGCTAATATTTGATCAAATCAAGATTCAAAAGCATAGGGCTCCTGGGTGGCTCAGTGAGTTAAAGCCTCTGCCTTTGGCTCAGGTCATGATCTCAGGGTCCTGGGATCGAGCCCCGCATTGGATTCTCTGCTCAGCTGGGGAGCCTGTTTCCCTCTCACTCTCTGCCTGCCTCTCTGCCTACTTGTGATCTCTCTCTCTGTGTTAAATAAATAAATAAAATCTTTAAAAAAAAAAAAGAAAGAAAGAAAATTAACCATGTTTTTTTTATCCATTTATCTATTGATGAATACCTGGGATGCTTCCATAGTTTGACTATTGTAAATAATGTTGTAATGAACATTGGGATGCATATATCCCTTTGAATTAGTGATTTCATATTCTTTGGGTGAATACCCAGTAGTGGATCTTAGGGTAGTTCTATTTTTAATTTTTTGAGGAACTTCCATACTGTGTTCCACAGTGGCTGCACGAGTTTGCATTCCCACCAACAACGCACAAAGGGTTCCTTTTTCTCCACATCTTTGCTGATAGTGTTGTTTCTTGTGTTTTTGATTTTAGCCACTGAGAGGTATGAGATAGTATCTCATTGTGGTTTTCATTTGCATTTCCCTGATAATAAGTGATGTTGAGCATCTTTTTATCTGTTAGCCATCTGGATGTCTTCTTTGGGAAAATGTCTACTCATGTCTTGCTCCCATTGTTTGGGTTTGGGGTGTTGAGTTTGATAAGATCTTTATAGATTTTGTATACCAGCTCTTTATTGGTAAGTCATTTGTAAACATCTTCTCCCATTCAATAGGTTGCCTTTGAGTTTTGTTTATTGTCTCCTTTGCTGTACAGAAGCTTTTTATTTTGATATAGTCCCTATAGTTTATTTTTCCTTTGTTTCCCTTGCCTTAGGAGACATATTTAGAAAGATGTTGCTATGATCAGTGTCAGAAAATAATGCCTTTGCTTTCTTCTAGGATTTTTATGGCTTCAGTTCTCACATATAAATTCTTAATCCACTTTGAATTTATTTTTGTGTATGGTGAAAGAAAGCAGGCCAGTCTCACTCTTTTGCATGCTACTGTTAGGTTTTCCCAACACCATTTGTAGACAAGACTGTTTTTTTCCATTGCATACTCTTTCCTCCTTTGACAGAGATTAATTGACCATATCATTGTGGGTTTATTTCTGGGCTCTCTATTCTGTTCCAGTGACCTATATTTCTCTTTTTATGCCAGTACCATACTGTTCTGATTACTACATATTTGTAATATAACTTGTGGTCTGGAATTGTGACACCTCCAGTTTTCTTTTTCAAGATTGCTTTAGCTATTCAGGGTCTTTCATGATTCCATACAAATTTTAGGATTGTTTGTTCTAGTTCTGTGAAAATTGCTGTTGCTATTTTGATACAGAGTGCATTAAATCTGTAAATTGCTTTGAGTAGGATAGACATTTTAACAATTTGTTTTTACCCATGAACATGGAATATTTTTCCATTTTTGTTGTCTTAAATTTCTTCCAACATTGTTTTATAGTTTTCAAAGTATAGGTTTTTCACCTCTGGTTAGGTTTATTCCTAGGTATTTTATTCTTTTTGGTGCAGTTGTAAACAAGATTTTTCTCTTAATTTCTCTTTCTGGTGCTTCATTATTAGTGTATAGAAATGCAACAGGGGCTCCTGGATGGCTCAGTTAGTTAAGTGTTTGATTCTTGATTTCAACTCAGGTCATGATCTCATGGGTTTACTTCTGTAGATTTTTTTTTAAAGACTTTATTTATTTGAGAGAGCAAGCAAGTGTGAGCACAGGAGGGAGAGGGAGAAGCAGACTCCTGCTGAGCAGGGAGCCTGATGGGGGACTCAATCCCAGGGCCCCAAGATCATGACCTGAGCTGAAGCAGATGCTTAATCGACTAAGCCACCTAGGTGCCCCCAGGGCAATAATTCTAAGTGTAGGGTAAGTAAAGGTCGCTTGAGAATGGGGAAAATCTTAAGGAAGTTCCATTTAAATTAAGATCTGAAGGAGTAGAAGAATTTATCCTAGGTAAGTGTTGGTGGGTAGAAGGGTGATGGGTGGAAAGAAATGAAGTCTGAAAATCTAGAGGTCAACATGAACAGAGAATATAAAGGAAGTCCAGTATGGCGAATAGTGTGAAAAATAAGGCTGAAATATTAGGAAAGGTTGAGGGACACCTGGGTGGCTCAGTTGATTAAGTGGCTGCCTTCAGTTCAGGTCTTGATTCCAGCCAAGATCATAAGATCAAGTCCCGCATCAGGCTCCTTGCTCTTTTGTACTCTCTCTCTCTGTCAAATAAATAAATAAAAACTTAAAAAAAAAATAGGAAAGGATGAGGGTCTTTCAGGTTTGCCACGAGTTTTTTTTTTTTTAAGATTTTTTTTTTTAATTTATTTGACAGACAGATCACAAGTAGGCAGAGAGGCAGGCAGAGAGAGACAGGAGGAGGAGGCAGGCTCCCTGCTGAGCAGAGAGCCCGATGCGGGACTCCATCCCAGGACCCTGAGATCATGACCAGAGCCGAAGGCAGAGGCTTTAACCACTGAGCCACCCAGGCGCCCCCCAAGAGTTTATCTGGTGAGCTTTCTCCTCTCTCTCTCTCACACACACACACATACTTTTTAATAGCAGGGGATTGAAATGGAGAAAGGATTTGAGGAGGACCAGAGTGAAAACAGTTTGGGAGACCAAGAGGGTTATTGTAATATTTTAGTCAAGAAATAATAGTGGCGGGGCACCTGGGTGGCTCAGTGGGTTAAAGCCTCTGCCTTCGGCTTGGGTCACGATCTCAGGGTCCTGGGATCGAGCCCCACATTGGGCTCTCTGCTCTGCGGGAAGCCTGCTTCTCCCCTCTCTCTCTGTGCCTGCCTCTCTGACTACTTGCAATCTCTCTCTGTCAAATAAATAAAATCTTTAAAAAAAAAAAAAAAGGAAATAAATAATAGTGGCTTCGACTAAAGTAGGAAAAAATGGGATACAAAGGACATATTTGAGAGATAATATGGAAGTATACAATCAAGATTTTATGATAATTAGATGTGGAAGGTGAAAAGAACAAGAAGCAAGGATGATCCTTCAGTTTTTGGCTTAAGTAGTTCGATATGGGTAGCGGTACAATTTTCTGTGTTAGGAAAAAAGAGATAACAGGATAAAATTTTTGTTTCCCTTATGATGGGTGTATTCACTTTCTATTGCTGTGAAATATTTACCCCACACTTAGCAGCTTAAAACAGTACCTGTTTATTAAAGCTCACAGTTCCATAGGTAAGAAGTTTGGCAGGTTTGACTGAGTTTTCCATTTAGGGTCTTACAAGTCCAAAATCAAGGTGTAGGGTGGGCTAAGCTGTTATCTGGAGGCTCTAGGAAGAATCTGCTTCCAAGGTCATTTAGGTTATTGATAGAACTCTGTTCCTTGAGATTGTGGGACTAAATTTTTATTTTTACTGGCTGTTGCCAGTTGTCACTCTGAATTCCTAGAAGCCACTTTCAAGTCCTTTCCAGGTGCTCCTCTCTGTCTTTGGACAAGCAGTGGGATGCAGAATCCATTTCATTCTTTGAGTTTTTGAGTTGTCTCTGCTACCAGCTGGAGAAACCTCTCTAATAGGGCTTGTGTAATTAGATTAGGACCATTCAAGTAATCTCCTTTTTGCCATATAATGTAATAAGATCATGGGAGTAAAACTAGAGGGTGAATATACTGGGGGTGGGGGGGTACATCTTAAAATTTGCTTATCACAGGGAAGTAGGCATGAGTTTCAGCTTAAAGTTAAGGTCGAAGAGGGGTGCCTTGCTGGCTCAATTGGTTAAGCATCTCACTCTTGATTTCAGCTCAGGTCATGATCTCAGGGTCAAGAGGGAGCCTGCTTAAGATTCTCTCTCCCTCATCCTCTGTTTCTTCCCCCCTGACCCCGACACCTCTCTTACTTGAGAAAAAGTAATGTTGAAGAGCTAGCATGACAGATTTAAGGTAGAAGTTGGATATATGTCTGGAAATATACATTTGAGTTATCATAAATCCATGGGAAGAATGAGGTTGCCTTGGGAGAGAGCGTAAAATTGGTAGGAGGCCTTAGGCAACTTCATAATTTAATGATGGGGTAGAGAGGAAAGCACCGATAAAGGAAACAGAATAGCACCAGCCAGAGATTTAGGGGGAAATTCAAATGTGTGATTTCATGAAAATCAAGATGGTTTTGAGGAGTAGGAAATAACATTATTCGTTATTTTGGTTTGGGATGGTGATGGGGAGGGAGAGGGAGGGACATTTATTAGGTACACGTCTGTCATTATAGGACACCTGTATGTTCTAGAGTGCACACACATGTTCACACACCTGCAAATTTTTATAGCCACAGTATTTTATGTCATTGCTCTATACTCAAGAGAAAAGAAATTAGGGGGATTGAAAATGAGTAAAAACATTACCCTTAAGAATCCTCCCTAGGATTCTCTTTGGTAAACTTGGAATCTCGGTTGACCAGCTGCACTCTCCAGGAATATAGCTAATACATAGCTCTAAATATGGGCCAGTCACTGTTCTAAGTGCTTTACCTATATTATCTCTGCATCACAAATGGGTTACAGACGAAGAAGCATGGTAGAAGTTTATAAAGTACACTGTCCAAAGTACATACCAAGTTAGTGGCAGTTTGTAGTTTTAGAATAGTTTAATTTTTATTGCTGTGTTTTTAAAGAAATTGATATAATTTTTTTCTGATCACCATTACAGTGAATTAGCATTGAAGAGGGCTAAGTCTCCCTCTTTCCAAGAAGAGAAATAAATGCCCTTCAGAAGTAAAGCAATGTGATGTAAAGCTTGTAATATAAAAATTGATGTTCTTTTGTGTGGTACCATGAAACCCTGCATCAAAACACATGCTCAGCAATGACTTGAATTTAGAAATGAGATTGACTTCTGACCTCTACAGAAAACATTTCTGCCAATTCATTAATCTCTCATTAGGCGATGTTTTACTATTGAATGTTTTGGACTCCATTTATATTATTTTGTTGGGTTTCACTTTATTTCATTTGAGTTTAAAGTAACCTGTGTAGACTGTGTGTTATAAAACTCCAGAGGGCACTGTTCACATACAGTCATACAATTTGGCAATCTTGTAGCCACCTATTCAGAAACTCTGATAAATCTAAAAATAATGGGAAAAAACCCTCATTGAAGTTAACAAAGTAAATGACTTCCTTTAGCATATTTTTACTACCTTTTTTTGGAAACAAAACCAGATGCTAAAGTATGTTTTATTGTCTTTGCAGGCGAGGAATTGCCTTGGCCTCCTTGGGAGGTCCAATTTATGCAATTGGTGGGTTAGATGACAACACTTGCTTCAATGATGTAGAAAGATATGACATAGAATCTGATCAGTGGAGTACAGTGGCACCAATGAATAGTCCTCGTGGAGGAGTTGGCTCTGTGGCTCTTATAGTAAGTTATGTGGCAGTTTGCTCCTGGATTACATTGTATGACAGCCCTAATAAAGGTCTGCTATAGTCCTATCTCCAGGTTGCAGATAATGATTGTATAGCATATTATCTCATGAAACACTGCTTTCTTGCACATTCTGGTCTACTGATAGGACCACATATAATTCAATTAAAAGTCTAATGTCACATTTTTTTTTTCTTTCCTCATTTAGAACCATGTTTATGCAGTAGGTGGCAATGATGGAGTAGCTTCTTTATCTAGTGTGGAGAGGTATGATCCACATCTGGATAAGTGGATAGAAGTTAAAGAAATGGGTCAACGAAGAGCAGGCAATGGAGTTAGTGAGCTCCATGGTTGCTTGTACGTTGTTGGTGAGTGGATGGTGTTTGTTTTAGTTTGTTTAGTTTAATTTATTGCAGTATATACAATGATAGTGTCAAAGACAACACACATTATATTGGATTTAGGCTCAAATGGAATAGTCCTAAGATTTGCTTTCGAATTACTAAGGTTCACCTTTATGTTTTTTGTTTACGCCTTCATCTTTCACATTTAAAATTTCTACCTTCATATTTTTACTAGGAGTTGCAAATATATCTAAAGTAGAGGATTATATTTAAATAAGATATGTATTTTTTAATGTAAAGACACAAATGTGCTTTGCTAAAATCTTTAAAGATTTAAGAAATTTGTTTCTCATCTTCATTTCATGGGAATTATGTTGACTCCTTTAAGCAAAGCAATGGATATTTCATATGCATAATGGCTGTTGGTATCTCTACCTTGCTTTTTACTTACTGAATTGCAGAACTGGAAGGAACCACAGGCAGTGCTTTCTCAACCTTTAATATGCATATGAATATTCTGAAGATAACTGTTCATCTCAGGGGAGGAGCCCAGATTCTGTATTTCTAAGGCTCCCAAGTGATAATCAGTGCTGCTTCTGGTCCATTCAGCACACTTTCGGTAGCAAGCTTTTAAAGAACTATGAGATGGGAATAATGATGAGAATTATCTTTGGGAGAATTATTCTAATAGAGACAATATACATGAAGCATCTCAAACTGCATCAGTTACCCTGTAAAATGGGTGGCAGTATTGTGATTAGTAATTCCCTCCTTTACAGAAAAAGAAATTGTTCAGAGAGGTTGTAACTAGCATATGTCACACTTAGGTTGATGTAAACTGTTTGGTATTACATAACTTACAGTTCTTGATAAGAGAGTGTGGGATGTTATTAGCACTGAAATATCTGCAAGTAATAGAAGTAATGCTGAATATTCCAGTGCTTATGTGTATTAAAAGAAATATAATTTACCTTTAGATCTTGTCTGATCCTTACAGCTCTGTGAGGTAGCAAAGATTCAGCCTGAATAAATTACCTTATCATCACATGCCTTCTAAACCAGTGACAAAGCTGGAATTTGAACTTGGGTCTATGAGAAATCACAGTTCTTGCAATACACAGTTGTTATGTCTCACAGCTCCCTATTTAGGAGAACTAAACCCTTTATTATAATGAGAATGTGTTTTGTGGTGAAGATACTACTGTACACATTTGTTGATATTTGTCAAATTATACACATAAAACTGGTGAATTTTAGTTCAATTAAATTGATTTAATTAAACCCATTAGAGAAGTTAACTCTTGTGTGTTTTGTTTTGTTTTTTTACTGACCTGAATAGACTGATCATAATAGCAACACTTCCTGTCCTCAGGAAAATAGGCTTAGTTGCTAAAGAGAGTTATTACTCATGTAGACTGAGATGGAGTCTAAAAAGAGGCACATTTATTTTTAAGGGAAAGAACACTGTCCAAATAATAGTCTCTGTAACCTTCAGGAATATATTAAGTAGCATTGTTAGAATGATGTATAGAGAGAACTGTCATCATCTAGATTATGTAGCATGAAGATGTAGTTTTGGCAAAAATTGGTGAGAATTCAGTCATAGCCATCTCTAATTATGATGACAATTACAGTATTAGGGGAAGCAGTTGGAAAACTTTTGAGTCAAATGATTTCAGTGGTATTTTAGTCTCTTCTCAGGCCCTCTTATTATTTAAAAATATAATACACAACGTACACACAGAGAAGGAATCTCAGATCCCTCTAGGAAGTGAAGGACAAATTATGAATGTCTGTGGGGTTTTTCTTCTCCAAAATTATCTGCTTAGATATGGGGACTTCGGTTTTTTCTATTTTAAGATTTTTAATCTTTGTATTGAGGTAAAATACTAAGTTATCTTGAATTGTAGAAAAATGTCTAATAGGAGTTGGGTGAATTTTTTCCCTGATTTTCTCTTTTCTAAAATGTTTTTAAAGGATTGGGTTGTAGAAGCTATTGGATTGAGGTTTAATAGTTAATTTCTGTGACGTACTATTTTTTAAAATCTTTTTTTTTTTAATATATATATAGGTGGTTTTGATGATAATTCTCCTCTGAGTTCAGTTGAGCGGTATGATCCTCGGAACAACAAATGGGATTATGTAGCAGCACTTACCACTCCCAGGGGTGGAGTGGGGATTGCAACAGTGATGGGCAAAATCTTTGCAGTTGGTGGGCATAACGGCAACGCGTACTTAAATACAGTGGAAGCATTTGATCCAGTGCTGAATAGGTAATTTTCATGTTTCCTGTATGCTTTAATGGGATCTTCCAGTAACAGATTATTCCAGAGTGCTAAAATACTACTAGATATAGCTATTAATATAAAACATTAGGGATATCTTATCTCCCTGAGGAAACTTGCTGTCTTTCAGTCCCAATAACAGGGAGTTTTTAGCTATGGCTGTTGGTATTTTGAGTAAAGTAAATCGTGCTTTGTTTTAAGATAACAAATTTTTTCTTCTGTCTTTTCAGGTGGGAGCTGGTTGGATCTGTGTCTCACTGCAGAGCTGGAGCAGGCGTAGCTGTGTGTGCCTGTTTAACCAGCCAAATTCGAGATGTAGGTCATGGATCCAATAATGTGGTTGATTGTATGTGATTTGAGTTCCGGCCACCAACAATTTAGTCATAATTGATATGCAAGAAGGACAACCAGGATTTTGTATGACCACCTTTGAACAGTTTTCACTACTGCTGGAGTCTTATTTTAAATGAAAACTGTTGTATTGTGACTAAGTGCAACATTTAGAATGGTAGCTAAAGATCTTTTGTAATAAAAGTAAATTTGATACTTTCCACTTTAGCAAATAATGGGGTAGGGAAGAAAAACAATTTAACCTGAAACCATACCTCCTCTGAAAAATGTTTAAAGTAGTACCAGAACCTTGAAATCCCTCTTTAAAGACATTTGGATAAATCAAAATGTAAAATGGAATCATTTCCATTTTACCTGAGTTTTACCTTCTCTTTTGCCTAACAGTGTTAACTGTAGGCAGTGGACTTCTCCTAGAGGGGAGATTAGAACCTAGTCTTCAACACAAGTATATCAGGACACATAAAAGACCTGCTCCTTTTGAAGATCATTTCTACTTCGTGCTGATGAATTTATGCCTTGCTTTTTTTCTAGATGTCAATTTTTCAATTTCTTGGATATTTATAGAAGTAGAAAAAATGTTTACTCTTTTTCAGTGTCACTTGGCTGAATTTTCAGAAGCTTTATGGGCTTCTGCTGTAAGAAGCCCTTAATTACAGTTTGACTTATTTAGGGTACCAAACACCTACCTGAACTAATCCCATCTGAATAAATCTATACTTGTATTTTTTCATCTCATGCAAAAAGGACTTGTTTCATATTAGCAAAAATTGAACCAGAAGAAATATTACAGGAGAAGGCTTTAGAGTTGATATTATTCTGGTGCCCCGATGAAAGACCTTGAGAAGAAATGGTGCCGATTACATGACTCCCTGAGAGGAATTTGAAAATATGTCTCTTGTTTGATTTAATCATTTGGTTTTGAGCCTAGGATTATTATCTTTCCATTTTGCTCTTTTCCACCATCTTGGCTTCAAAAAAAAACCGGAATTTGGATGTATTTATTATCAGAAAATGAATGCATTTTTATAAAAATTCTTTATAGATTATGGTTTACTGATTAGTTCAAATCCATTATTACCAATAAAAGATATTGTTACTAAAAACAGAGCAAGATTGAAATTTACTGTTTTTTGTTTAATCAACTTTAGTATATTTATTGAACTTCAATTGAAAATATTTCTGCACATTAATTTGAAGCCAGAATATTGATAAACCTACTGATTTAACAGCTCTTCGTGGTTTTAGCCAATATTATAAAATGGCCTATTCATTATATGTAAATATTTGTGTGAATATTTATGAAGAATATTAAAATACTCTGTTTTGTATTTGGAATGCACTTTGGTACCTCTCTTCCAGGCTTCCTTGAATTTTCCTGTCATCATGCCTCCCAATTTAGTGTAGTTCATTGCGGGTTCACAAGGAAGCTGGGGTATTGAGGAACCCATCCAGCCAGCTCTGAAGTTGATTGCCTATTAACTCTGATGGTCCTCGTTAAAAGGTAGCCTGGGCTTGTCCGCATAGTAGAGTAGAAAGCCACATTACAAAAGCCAGTGTCTATTGAGTTTATTAGACCAAAAAATAAAAGAAAAAACAAATTGTAAGAGGATCTCAGGCTAACAGATAAAGGTCTTTCATGAAGCAGATTTAAAAGTTCCCAAGTTAGGCCACTTTCTGCTGTCAGCAGCCTATAGGCAAGGTCATAAGTCTTTGCTGAAACTGAATCAGTGTTCTCTTATATAGCTATAACCATATTTCAGTCATTCCTCAAAACATTGAACTCTCTAGCACTCACTGGACTGGTTACCGTTAGCTGGGTGTGGAGCATAAATGTCAGCACCTGGCTTCAGCTGTCTCTTTATGTCTGATGAGCTCTTATGTTATACTGCTTGTCTGGCTATGGTTACTAGTAGCTTTGTTATATTTATTTTGTGGAAGAGAGGATCATGGTCTTATTTCTAAGATTATTTAAAATGGTTTTTTTTCTTTAACATATTTCTGCCTTTCATGTTTGCAGAATTTGGGAACATATAGGTATTAAATTTTTTTTTAAGGTGTTAAATTTCTATTTCTGGTTTTTACTATACCATAGTCATCTAACATACTAACATACCCTAGCTACCTATAAAATAGGAACTACTCATAAGGGAAGTAAAGTGAAGTGAAGAAAACATGTTGGCTGTCTGTTATATTATGTGTAGATCATTAGAAGCAGAGTTTGGAAGGACCTGACAATGGTTATGAAAAGATAAATAGTGGAACCAATATTCACAATTTATTAAAAACATTCATATAAAATGAGAATCAGGCTGAAGGAATCAATACAATTGAAAGATGATTAAATTCACAGGAATAAAGAGATGACGTTATTAAAAGAATATGGCTACTTAATTGTGAGGCCTTTCATTTTAACCTCAGATGTTAGTAAGAAAAGCAAAAAGTGATATAAAATTTTGAAATGATAGATGGGAGAAAAAGAAAAAGTGAAAATTTCCATATTATTATTTCTTCAAAAAGTATTGTAGGTGCTTTTGTGTGATTCTCCCATAAAGTTATTAAAGCCACTGCTTTCCTATATTGATTGTGTTGCCACTTAAAAAAAAAATTACCTAATATTGGTTTTGGTTAATTTCATGTACTCTATGTAACTGATTATTTTAAATTATTTTAAATGTTTGAATAAACTTTGTATTCCCTCTAAGGAATATTATGTATTCTCTTAATTCCCACACACATTTTGAATTTATAATGCTGTTAAATGCCTAGATTGTTGAAATTATATAAACTCCTTTTGCAAATGGTAAACTTAAGAATTTTCTTTGTTACTTTTTTCTCCGTTTCTTACATGATAGAGAATGCATTTAGAATCCAATTACATATCTTATCAGTTAAGAATGTTTTCTGTGGGGACGCCTGGGTGGCTCAGTTGGTTGAGCCGCTGCCTTCGGCTCAGGTCATGATCCCAGCATCCTGGGATCGAGTCCCGCATCGGGCTCCTTGCTCGGCAGGGAGCCTGCTTCTCCCGCTGCCTCTGCTGCCACTCTGCCTGCCTGTGCGCGCGCTCTCTCTCTCTCTCTCTCTCTCTCTCTCTGGCAAATAAATAAATTAAAAAAATCTTAAAAAAAAAATGTTTTCTGTGTTCTTTTTTATATCAGACTATAAAGAAATTGTTGGGGTGTCATTTGCTCTTTCTCTTCTTTATGTGGAATTAAAAGTTGCAATAAAACTTCTCTAAAATATTTTCTTAAAACTGTATACAAATATAAATTTGTGTAGTAATACTCCCAACAAATCAAAATAATAAATTATCATATATATTACTAAGGGCTGTGATTACAGTACTTGGATTCACACCAGTACTGTTTATTGATTCAAAATGTACTAGGGCGCCTGGTTAAGTTGGTTAAGCATCTGCCTTTGGTTTAGGTCATGATCCCAGAGTCCCGGGATCGAGTCCTTCATCAGTCTCCCTGCTTCACGGGGAGCCTGCTTCTCCCTCTGCCTCCCTCTCTCTCTCATGAATAAATAAATTTTTTAAAATTTATATATATACTACATGTATCTATTATGAATAGCAACTTCTGTAAGATCTATGCAACTTCTCATTTTTGATGCTTTTACAGAATCCTATGAAAACTATGTAATTGCTTATTCTCCATCCCTGAAACTTTAGTAAGTTGACTGTAATATATTTTTTTTTCTCATAGAAAGGATTATTTAGGGGCGGTGCTCAGTTAAGCATCAAACTCTTGATCTCAGCATAGGTCTCCATCTGAGGGTCTTGAGTTCAATGCCCGCACTGGGCTCCATGCTAGGCATGGAGCCTAATTAAAATAATAATAATTAAAACATAAAGGATGTAGGCAACTAATATAAGTAGTTTCACTAATCTTAGTAACTGATTAAAGCAATAGTCTATTCAACAACTGTGGACTTGTATTGAAATGAGATTCTTGATGCATTAGGATGAATGTTGTTCTTCCAAGTAAGTGGTTTTATTCCTCTTTTATAATTATGTTGCCAATGCTAAACATTTTTCTGAAAATGGCCAGAAAAGTCCATGTGTAAGGCATCCAAGAGAATTAGTCTTGTCACTCATTTTAGTCATATGGTATTTTTTAATTAAAAAAAAATTCTATTAAAGATTTTAAGTAATCTCTATACCCAGCGTGGGGCTTGAACTTACAACCCTGAGATCAAGAGTTGTATGCTCTACCTGCTGAGCCAACCAGGTGCCCCAGTCATGTTAATTTTGACCAGAATCTTGATTATGGCCATGTATACTTTATTCATCAAGCTTGATTAAAAATATTTTGTGTTACAACAGGGGACATCTACCCTCAAAAAATTAAGGTTTTCCTTTACTGGGAAATTTTTTCACAAATAGACCATTCCAGTGGAAGATTTCTAAAATCACCCCGAGCCATAGTAACTTTTTTTTTAAGTTTTTATTTATTTGAGAGAGAAGTGAGCATGTGTGTGTGTGAGAGAGAGAGCACAAGCAGGGGAGCAGGAGAGGGAGGAGACTCCCTGCTGAGCAGGGAGCAGGGTGCCCTAGGACCCTGGGATCATGACCTGAAAGGAAAGCTTAACCAACTAAGCCACGCAGGCGCTTCAGAGCAATAGTAATTTTAGTGAAAGAAGTATATAGCTTTTTTTTTCTTTTTTAAGATTTTATTTATTTGACAGAGACAGAGAGAGATCACAAGTACACAGAGAGGCAGGCAGAGAGAGGAAGGGAAGCAGGCTCCCCGCCAAGCAGAGAGCCCGACGTGGGGCTCGATCCCAAGACCCTGAGATCATAACCTGAGCCAAAGGCAGAGGCTTAACCCACTGAGCCACCCAGGTGCCCCAGTATATAGCTTCTTTGAAGGGAAAAATGAATTGATGCAAAAATTCTCCTGGTTTTTATTGTTTCAGCTACTCTTCCATTATATTATTGGTTGAGGCTAGGTTCAGCCTACCTCAACAAACTCTTTAGAATATAAGGGGCTTCTCTTCTCTTTTTTCTTTCCTTTTCTTGACCTTTTCCTTTCCTTTCCTTCTTTCTTTCTCTTTTCTTCCTTCCCTCCCTCCCTCCACCTCCCTCCCTCTTTCTTCCTCCCTCCCTCCCTTTCTTCCTTCCTTCCTAAAATTTTACTTATTTGATAGCATGAGAGAGAGCACACGAATGGGGTGAGGGGCAGAGGGAGAAGCAGACTCCACACTGAGCAGATGAGGACTCCGGAATGATGATTGGAGCTGAAGGCAGACGGTCAATCAACTGAGCCATCAGGTAGCCCCTTCTTTTCCCTTTTTTTAAAAGGTCGATTTATTTTAGAGAAGAAGCACGCATGTGAGGTGGGGAGGAACAGAGTGAGAGGGAGAAAAATCCTTGGGCAGGCTCCCTGCTGAGTGTGGAGCCTGACATGGGTCTTTAACCAGAGCTTTGTGTTCATGACCTGAGCTGAAATCAAGAGCTGGACACTTAACTGACTGAGCCACCCAGGTGCACCTATAAGGGGTTTCTTAAATTTGGGAATAGGGGAGAATTAATAACCAAATTTTTAAAAATGTGTAGTTTGTACCACGTTATAGAATTTTGATCTTTACAATAATTCTGTATTTTACAGTTAAAAAATAGATTCAAAGACATTAAATGACCGAGATCCATAACCAATGAAGTGGTTATGACCAGTATTCTCTGTGAACAAAAAAAATCCCACTGTTCCACCTAACCAGTTATACTATACATCTGCTTTTACAAGGTACTGTACATACATTTATGGGAAGTTGATATCCTTTTCCATATTGCCTTGGCAATATAAAAGTATTTCTGGTCACTTTTCTTTTTTTTTTGCTTTTTTAAAGATTTTTAAATTTATTCATTTATTTGAAAGACAGAGATCACAAGTAGGCAGAGAGACAGGCAGAGAGAGTGGGAAGCAGGCTCCCTGCTGAGCAGAGAGCCCGATGTAGGGCTCAATCCCAGGATCCTGGGATCATGACCTGAGCCAAAGGCAGAGGCTTAACCCACTGAGCCACCCAGGCGCGCCACTGGTCACTATTTTTTTTTGAAATGTAATTGACATATAACATTAGTTTTAGGTGTACACCATAATGATTCAATATATGTATACTTTATGAAAGAATCAACACAATCTAGTTAAGATTCATCACAATACAGTTACAATTTTTTCTTAAGGTGGGAACTTTCAAGATCTCTTTTATTAGCAACTTTCAAATATAAAAACACAGCATTATTACTACAGTTACCATACTGTAATTATAGCCCCAGGACTTATTTTATAACTGGAAGTCTGTGCCTTTTGACCACCTTCACCCACTTTGTCCACCGCCCACACCCAACCTCTGGCAACCACTAGTCACTATAGTTTTTTGTGTAATGTCTGATTCACAGATTAAAAATAGATGCACTATGGAAGTAATAATAAGCATCTATGTACCCACTCCCTAATTAAGAACTAGAACATTTCTGGGTGCCTGGGTGGCTCAGTGGGTTAAAGCCTCTGCCTTCGGCTCAGGTCATGAGCTCAGGGTCCTGGGATCAAGCCCCACATCAGGCTCCTTGCTCACCAGGGA